TGTAGTTTAGCTTTCGACTTGCTTAAAACTGTCGCATGTTATGCTTTGTTACAGCTTTCTTTGCATGATCATAAGTTATGCTCGGCTTTGTGCATTGTCTTGCATTTTGCCCTTGCCTTCAGGTGCATATCTTTGTTTGCAGCTTGTATGCTTTGTCTAAGTCTTCGGCCTTGTCAAAAATGGGTCGTCTCTGGGCTTTGACACTCACTCCCGTCATTGTTATGACTTTCGAGTTCTGTCAAAGAGGGACAACTGTAGACACCCCATTTTTCACCGTCCTCAAGACTTGGACGTCACCATTTGAACACTCGGTGATCATCCATGTTTGTGTTCGTCCTAAGTTCTCGGAGGTCTCGGCCACGCACCTTGCCTCAAGACCTCTCGACTTGCCTGTTTTGTGTTTGGTTTTGCACCAAACATTTGTTATTTTGCTTCTGAGGGTAGGAAATGGCTTGTTGGCCATCCCCACACCTCACCGGCCATGACTTAAGGCCACCGGCCCTGTTTTGTTGCTACCAGCCATTGGTTGTTGCCGGTCGATACCATTTATGGTCGGCCGACCAATGTTTTGGTCAATTTGTCATTTTTGGCTGGCCGATCACTATTCATCTGCTTTTGGCAGATATTTTATGCCAGCTGTGATAACTGGCATCCACAACGCACCCCCTCCATACACGTGTATAGAGGGATTTCCCTCTTGCGTAGCTAGTTTTGTAAGCTTTACAAGAGTGAATCTCTAAAAAGGGAGGGCTTCTCCTCCCTCCTCAAGGGTTCCAAAAAAGTTTCAGAGAGGGTCTGAGATTAGGGTTTAGGATTTGTATCTCTCTATCTCTATATCTCCCTCTATTTCACTCTTGTGTGTGTATAAGGTGTATTTGTTCTTAATTTTGCACTAGGACACCTAGTATCACACCTTACCTTGGTTGCTGAGGTGCCAAAGGGTTGTTCTTAAAGTTTTTGAGTGGATTTAAGCTTGGAAAGGCTGCTGGAGCCTCTTTCTTGAAGGTGGTCTACAAGGGTGAAATTCTTGCTCTTTATTCCCCATTTTTGTATAAGCCTTTTGCCAATCTTGCATCTGTTTTTGAGCTTAGTCTATAACTGATAAAAGTTCTGATTTTACTTGTTTAAAATAGTTGTTTCAGGTTGCTTTGTTGTTTGGGGTTGTTTACCCCCCCCCCCCCTTAGGCCTTGTTTGGCCTCCTTTTTGTGCTATTTTTGGTGAGCTCCGGGACCACCTTGTATTGGCCTCCTCACCACTGAAATCCAGAGGGATTTCAGTGGTGAGGATGGTGTTTTGAGGTCCTAAGAAGGAGAGGGCCATCCCCTCTCCTTGTTGTCTTCAAAACGTGTCATTTTAGCCTCATGTGTGAGCACCTTTCTTAAGTTCATGTTGGCCGTGTCTTAGTTGATATTTGTGCTTATTTTGTCATGATATAGCACTGTTTCAAGTTAGTTTAGACACGCCATGCCTGCTTTGCATACTTGTCTTGTAATGCCATGAAATTGCCTTAACATGCTTTGTGCTTTGAGCCTTGTTTTTAGCATGATTTTGGCTTAGCTTTGTGAAACTTTTATGCATGTTTTAGTATGCTTGAGTTCTGAATTTGGTTATTTGGGTCGTCCATGATTTTCTTTGTATAGCTACTATGCAATCTCCCTTATAGACCTTGAGCGTTGGCCTCTCTAGCATGCTCTCCTTGCATCATTTCAGTGGTTTGGCACCACTTATCATGTCATTTCAGTCCATATGGTATGTTTGTATGCTTGCATTTGATACTCCTTTGATGCTTTAAAAGGTTGATGTCTTATGCTCCACGTTTGGACCATTATGTATGCTTCCATGTGTAGGCCATTTAGATGCCATCTAAGTGTGTTTTGGGCCTTGTCTCGACCTACATTGGGACTGTTTTGAGTCCCGTCGACCCTTTGGGACTCACCTTGCATAGCCATGGTTTGATCCCTTAAGATAGCTTTGAGCTTTGGACCTTGGTTGCTTGCTTTGATTGCTTTGTTTAGTTGGTTTGGCACCATCCTTAACATGATTTTCAGAGTTTGCCATGCTTGTCATTGGTCCATGATCATCTCCTTTTAAGTGTGCTTAAAAGTCCCCTCTTTGTGCTTAAGTGTTGGACCATGTTCGCATGCATGTTTGTATGTAAATTTGCCTTTATTTCCATAGCATTTTGGCTACTTATTTAGACATGGCTGAGGCTTGTCCATATTAGTTTAAGTTCACCGTTTGCATGTTGTTCAAATGTTGTTACATTGCTTCATGCTTGCATGTTTTGGTTGCATAGTGTTTTGCATGCTCATTGCTTGCATTATTGATACATGCTTAGCTATGTTGCATTTTGTTGCATTGCTTGAGCTGTATGGCATGTTGTTGCATGCTTAGGTTGTAATGCATTTGGCATGCATTCTCTCTTTTAGTTTTCTAACATGTTGTTGCATGTTTTGCCATTGATATGTTGTTACATGCTTGCATGTGTGCATGTTTGCCCTCATGTTCATATTGCGTGCTTAGGTTGCATTTGGCATGCATGCCTTGCCTCTTGAATCACCATGATAGAGGTTGGGCCCCTTAGGTGTTTGTGTGCATTTCATTTGACATCAAAATGCACAATTTGACACCTCGGACCATCATGCATTGAAATGCGCGATTGGTGGCCCGAGGGTCGAGGGCCACACTCCCTTGAGTTCATAGCATGATGGGGAGGTTGGTGGTGCAAACATTTGCTTGAAAATGCATTGCTATGCCTTGTCTGCGCTCTACTGCTGTCAAACAGGATTTTGCAAGCATAGATGGTCGACCGACCATATTGAGTGCCGGCCGACTAAATATATTCGGCCGAGAGCCATACCAATGGTTGATGACCAGTTTCCCCTGGCCGGTGGTGTTTCCTCTTGGTCGTGACCTTCCACAATGATCAGGAAGTGATCCTGGAGCATCATTGAGACTTGCACAATTTTCAGAGGCAGCTTGTGCATGGTGGTGGATTTCCGAGCGAAGCCGAGCACGCATGCATTAGACCCTCTTCCCAAGGTTGTTTTACCGCTTTATTAGCTTAGTTAGTTTGCCTAACTAGTTAAGTGGTCTGTAACTATTTAATTAGGTTTTTAGTTAGTTTAATTTGTATTATTCTTTTGGTCCCTCCGAGAGAGGGCGAATTGTGTAATAAGCGTGCGCGTGTGTGATGCATGTCTTCCAACCTCCACTTCTTTCTCCCTTTTACTTACCTGTTTTTGATGGTTAGTATTAGGACATATTTTAATTAGCATCCTTATGCCATGCATGTGTGCATGCATTCATCAGTATTGCATGCACCGGGCTCGGCGCATTATACTAACTGCATAGTATTTGAAATCTAACTTGAATACATGTTATCTGTTGCATTTCACATGCCATCCATAAATTAGCCGAGCCTATTCTAGCTGCATTTTGCCTGCTATGCATTAGTCATCTTAACATGGACTTGGATCATACATTTGATTACTAACATGTTCCTTGTTTTGGCTTGGAGTACTAGGTGAGTGTTTATGCTTTAGCATCTCACATGAGTGTGAATGTTAACATGAAAGCATGCTTGCCATGAGGCTAACCGCTTAGTTGATTTACTGCCTGAATGCCTGTGGGTGAAGGTTAGATTGTTTGAATTGGAATAATTCATCGAAATTCGTATTTTAGCCTACTTGCGAGTAGCAAACCTCAAATCATTTCCAAACAATGGAGATGCGATGCTTTGTTCCAAATTAGGCAATCTAGTCTATACTTTTGTGTTGTGCGCGTCACATAGTAATTCTAGGCTAATAACCGGAATAAGAACACACAATGTTTTCAAAACTTGATATCATGGTTAGTAGAAGCCGATCTTTGATCGGGCGAGTGGGGGTGCTCATAACTGACCTTCCCCAATCGTATCCAAGTTCCCGAGCCAAGGCAACTTTGGTGATGACGAATACGTGGCCTTAGGCAAACGAGTCAGGGTTTCCTAAATTCCCCCATAAAAAAATATTTAGGTGGCGACTCTGTATCTGGAACAGCAATCCATGTTTGACACTTCTTTCTAAAAAAAAAAATCTATTTTCCAAAAACGATTTGCCGAATTTGGACTCTTTGGTGATTTATCAGTCTTGCATTGCACTTTGCAAGATCAGGTTAAGAACCGTGACAATTTGAGTCCTGCACTGTAGTGAGCCCAAATGAATAGAACGGGATTTCCCTCCCGGGACGTTCGGGGACGTCTACAATTAGCTTCCTTGATCATTAAGTGATATGAACTATCGCATGATGATCATGGAAGCAAATTAAAGTAATGGAACTAAAAATCAAAGAAATAAAATGGAATCTGTATCTCCTTTCATGGAAGAGAGCAAAGTAATGCTCAAATCGATGTAACAATGTGTAGAGAAGATAGATCACCATTTATTTCTAAGAGGAAGTCGTGTTTGGCTTCCAAAAAAACAAAAGAGAAAATGATGAGAGAAATAGAAGAAAATACTAAGAATCACAAATAAACCAACACAAGCAATGGAACTTCATAACAAGGGTTAGAAGCATCATTCATCTTCCTCGTGGAAAATGGATATAGACATCCATTTCCATGATCAAGGAGTTCAGAAATGAATACTGCCCAATCCTTTTAGAGAATAAATCATGTGTTTGGTTCCAAAGAAATAAGAAAGAAAGTGAAGGAAAATGTAAACATCACCCTCTCTAATCATCCAATTAACCCACAAAACAACTACAAATGCTTATCAAAACATAAGCAAGAGTTGGATCAAGATAATTAAATATGTTTGGATGATAAGAAAATTGGTGAGAAAATGAAAGAAAACAAAGGAAAATGAAGGAAAACCATGACAATTACCAAAACTAATCAAAGGGTGAGACTACTACCCTTTATAAAAGTATAATCAACTCAAGGTTCTAAATATCGGCCGGTACGTGCCGTACCGGCCGATTCGTACCGGAAAATGGGAGTGCCGAGTCGGATACTCACCGGTATACCGGTGAGAATGAATTTCGCGTCCGTGGCGGCCGATTCCCGATACATATCGGTCTGAATCCGATACGTAAGCGATTTGTTTTCAATACAGTCCGATACGGCTGAAAACGAGCAATGCACCTGCAAAAATAATTGAGAAAAACAAAGGAAAGCACTTGGAAAAGCAAAAAATAATGAGCAAAGCACCTGCAAAAGTGATGCTCTGTTTGTATATCTGATGCTCTGTTTTTTTCTTTTGGCTGAAGAAGTCATGGTTTTGCTTTTTAAGTTGTGCTCCGTTTGTTTATAATTTGTTTTTGTTTTGTTTTTTTTTTTCTGTGGTTATTTTTTTAAATGCATATAATTTTATATATATATATTATTGAGGTTGAATAGAACTCAGGAGCAATTTTTTACATAATTTTAAATGCACATAAGTTCAGAAGCTAAATAGAACTCATAATTTTATAACTCAGGAGTATGTTTGTTCTCTCATAATTTTTTATATATATATATATATATATATATTATCAGCATAGAATATAATTTTTTATATATAAAAATATTTTATATATATATTTTAAATGCACATATGCTCAATATATATATATTTTATATATATTATTTAAAGAGATTTAATCTGTTAGATTTTTTATTTCAGATTTTTTTATTATTATTTTAGATTTTTTAATCTGTCAAATCTTTTTATTTCAGATTATTTTTATATCATATTTTTTTTTATAAATGTTTAATCTGTCAGATTTTTTTAATGAGGTTTAATTATTAAGTAAAGATGTTTAATATTTCAGATTTTTATTTTTATTTTAAATGCATTATTTTTAATATTTTAGATGTTTATTTTAACATATATGCTAAATAAAAGATTGAGACTAAAATAAATACATATCATTTAGTTGAAAATGAGTCAAAAAAGTGCCTCTACATATCAAAATTTTGATTAAAATGTGATAAATTAAGGCTAAAAGAGTCAAAAAAAAATGCATAAAATTGAGTTTTAGATGGATTGCTAATGATTTTTAAAATTTCACAGCCGCGACGCTCGATACCCGATACGTACCGGTCGATACTACCGATACCGATACTCCGCAATCGATACCGTTACGTTACCCGATACCGTGATTTAAAACTATGAATCAACTCAAACATTCAAAGACAATCAAAAAAAAAAAAAATGTTTGG